CACTCACCTGTGCGCACATAAATCAGCGCTCTTCTTTAAATGAGCCGGGGTTATTTGCACTGGAACACACTCCAGGGGGGGCGCTTGATTGTTTTTTTGGACGGTGCTTTCTGCTTATGTCTGCATCCCACAACAATCTCTGTGGATCCCGGAAGCGTACGCCTGCAATTAACCTGATAGCATCTTCATATCCCCGCAACCAATAACGGAAATAATATCACTGTTTTATTAAGCACGTAATGTGGGGGCTGCGCGGAGGGGGGAGGGGCTTATCAACTTCCTACTTTGAGCCGGTGGTTTTGTGTGCACTCGTTATCTGAAAGAGTTTTGGCTAATCGCAGCGTCAGCAAGTGGGATTTTTAATTACAAAATCTACCTTTGTTCAATCATATTTACCAACATCTATGCTACGATTAGTTAGTCAAGAGAGGAAAGGTCGCTGCCTGGTTCTGGAGATGGAATCGTTTTGCTAATTGCATCCAAATTGTAGCACGCCCATTTCGCCAAGATGTACCCAAAAATATGGGAATACTAAGATTATACAAACGCAGGCATGAATTGAAGATGAGAAAACTTTCAATCAAAAGTATATATTCTCCAAGTTCATTATCAAGGGAAGGCTGGATCTAAAAAGAAGAAAGTATCATGTCTGCTTGAGATAAATGCAGAAGTTTTAATTCTTATCCATTTTTAATATTATCAAGGGTAAAATATACTTCTTCAATTCATTTGGACTGACTGGTTTCTTGAGGTCAATAAAAAATGAAATAATCATAATTATAATAATTTCTCTGACATCTGCCATCGATTGTTTGACTTAAGATATTTGATCAAATTATACAACATCTCTCGTCCCACAAAGTCACAGGGAAAATTACCATAAATCGGGAGAAAGCTGCTGCAGAGGCTTACTATGAATAATACAATTACAAATATTAGTTTTCCATATGAAAGAACAGATTTTGTACTCACTTTATTTGCTTATTCTTTTTTCTTATAGAACATGATTGCACCTTGAGCCAAAGCAAATTCCTAGTTTGTGACTTCCTGTTATAGTCTGGTTTATATCTATCTGAATATCTATGGTATGTCCATCCATACCATAGATATATGGACCTGTGTTATATCAGTATCACTGCTAAAACATGATCATCTGAAGAACTGAATGTATTAGTTCTGACCCACATTGTTACTAGTATCTGTATCTGAAGCATGCATCAATAATATCTCAAATGATGACGTCTCTGTTTGTGCGCACATTGATACAAATCATATAAAAAGCGTTGTCTTCTTTTGTTCGATCTGGAAGGACTCGAAAACAAACCAGTAGGTTACAGGTGAGACCGCTGCTGTCTCTGTCTTCATTTCTCGACAATAGGATCACTCCACTGAACATCCTTCCCAAACTTGACCTCCACTCTAATTGATCACTTGATTATGCTCTACACAAGCCCAACTGAACGAATGCTATATTAGTTCTACCAAACCAAACCACCCACAAACACGCTTAACCAATTTGTGTCTGACTCGCGGCACTTGAGTGTTCAAACAAGGCTGTAAATGATGAGCAGGATCGCGGCCATAAATGAAAGATGGTGACAGGAATATAGTCAAATGTTGGGAAATGTTAGCGGTGGCATTTTGAAAAAGGTGCTGAGGAGCGCTTCTTGTGAGCCGTGAGACGCAGGAGACGAATGACAGCCCGCGGCCTTCGTGTCTGTCAAACGTGATGGATCAGAACAACGCGGTGTGAAAACTCCGGCGCGCGTCACATTCACCCCCTTCAGTCACAACGCTAAATTGATAAAGTATGAGGACTGGCTAATGGAAAGGATGTAATAGCGGAAGTAAAGCATATTAGGCAGAGATATGGAGCCCAAAGGGAGAGTCCGGCCGTCCTCTTTAGAAGGCTCAGAACTGTGAAATATAAGACCAGCGTGTACATCTGAATGGAAGGAAATTAGTTGTTTCTAAAGTTTATAGATTTGTAAAATCTATTTACGAATTGTAAACTCATATTCATTCAGAAGTGATCTATGATAGAAACGATCTCAAAAGCAATTGTCCTATTGTGGCGCCACTTGCATGTGAAAGCCAGATCTCGTGAGGCTTCTAAAGCTACGCAGGGACGGGCCTGGTTAGTACTGTGATGGGAGACCTCTGGGTACACCGGATGCCACAGTGGGGTGGCTGTGGATGTGTGTTGTTGTGTCCTTAGGCAAGACACTTCACCAACATTGCCTAGAATGAGTCTGGTGTGTGTGTGAATGGTTGTAGGTTGATCAGAGGGGCCGATGGCACATAGTGATTGCCTAGCTTCGGTCAGTGTGCGCCTTGGCAGCTGTGGCTACAGTAATGACGTATCACCACCGTGTGTGGAGTGAGTGAATAATTATATGTGAAGCAACTTTGAGTGTCCAAAAAAGTGCTGTATTGCATTATTACTGTCATTTTTATTCACCCGCCTTTTCGGCCACTGCGTGGGTCGTTGTGTTTTCTGACCGACTGAAATTGTGTGCAAGCCAGAGGAATAAAAAACAGAATTAAATAACTACAAAATGTATATCAAAGTAATAATGATTACGGTGATACAAAAGTGCACATTAATTATCTCCCAGTGAAAACAAGCTCACTAAAACAAAGCACTCTGTAGATGGATTGTTCTGAATATATGTTTCTTCCAAGAAATATAATAAAGGAGTCGTGTACATGCAGTAGTTTATTTCTTTTAGAGTCATCAACAGATTTTTCTAGGGTTTCACAAAAGTGTGGAAGTATCTTCACAATTCTAAAAAAAAGGTGCTACAAAAGACATCCTTTAGTGTATATTCAGTATAATGTGTTCCTCTGGCCGGCAAAGGTCATCACAGCCACAGATCACTTATTTTGTTTGCAGTCCTGCTGCACCGCTGTATATGTGAGTGGGTTTTGTGGTGCATTTAGTGAAACCTAATAGTTGCAGTACACACACATGTGGAGTCTGCTTGGGGGGGAGGAAGTGGTCTCCTGTAGTTAAATACACAACGACAGGAGGAAACGGAAAAGAAACCACAGAGTATCGGTGCATCAGTGAAAGATATACTCCCTTACTAAATGCTAAGAAAATATTTGCATTAACCGCTGCAAACAGGCCAAAAACAACACCAGAAAATGGATATTCTACTGGCAACAAGCAATAAGATGAAAAATAAAATACAATGAAAGCAACTGTACATAGCGGTATTGTTAAAAAAAAATAGATCAATTCTATCAGTAGACATATTAGGTAGATGAGGTAATGACTATGTTAATGTAGATTTATTCAGAATTACAAAAATGTTGAGGGGATGAAGTTGATTGGCAAGGTTTTCTGTTGCTTGTCAAGCAGACTAGAGATGTTTCAGATATCAATCTCGTCAATCTTGTTGAACATTTTGGCAGCACACGTGCACATCAAAAGATCTTTTAACTAGCGTGCAATTTCCTCCAAATAACTAGTGACTGAATAACAGCCATTAGATTCTACACACACAAAAAATGCTGTTTGGTTTTAATGGTAGATGGTTTTTAAAGTGGCAGATGTATTTTACCAACTTTAAAAAAAAATACTGATAAGGAGAGCACATTACTATAGTCAGGGGTGCACATAACTTTTTCAGTGAGGTACTCAGATGAGTACCAGGACATGGTGTTTGGTACTCACTCAATTTGTCGCGCGGTTCTTAATAGAGATTTTATACTTGATTCTTTTTAATGTTTAAAGTTTAGATCAGCTTAGATAATCCACTCAATCCAAGTCAATTAACCCATTAAGGCCTGACACACCAGATAAAAGAGACATTAAAACCTAAGGAGTATTATTATAATCCTTCAGTAGAATAATAAAAAGATTATACAACTTCCACACAGGAAAGACAAAAAAACAACCAATAATAATGTGAGACTAACAAATTTTTCTCAAAACAATAAGTGAAAAATAGTTTGCCAATAAAGTGGCACTAACTATGTGGAAAATATTATTTAAAAAAATCCACTCTCAGCCCAAAAAGTCAAATGATGACTCACGGGGCTCTTTCTTAAGTAAGTAAAATAAAAAAAACAAGACTGTTTTGGTCTGTTCTGTTTGATTTGGTCACAACATTTTACTTTTGCGCTCAAATAACATGCATTTTCACTGCAAGCGAAAATGTAGGTACCTGCGCTTTAATTCAGTGACTTTTGGCTGCGCTTCGTGTGGAGACTTGGGGGAGACGTGGGAGAGGCATGGGGGAGAGACGGGGAAGAGACGGGGGAGACAAGCAAGACCCACACGTGCAATGTGCACGTAACGCGCACGTGTATATGGTTCTGTACGCGCGTCTATCGTCCGCGCTCGGTACATGACCACGCGCGTTCGCTGAGCTGCCAAAGCGGCCACAGTTTCTTCCGGGGTCAGAACGGAGGATGTTATTGCACCACGGCCCACTGTTTGAGAAGGACTGGTCTATGTGAAGTACGCAAAAGCGCTTTCTAACTCAAGTGATACGCATTTCTGATATTTCTCACGCATGCGTACCTGCGTACCACTTCTGTGCACCCCTGACTATAGTTGCGACTTTATAACTATCTATCGACTTGTCTAAAAGCATCAGAAGAAAAAGAATAGTCAATCAACCATCACAATTAGTGCATTGAGCAATAAACACAATGACTATTTACAACAATATCATAGTGCATCACCAAAAAGATAAAATCACCAATAATCCAATCATGGCTGACCACAACGTGAAAGAGCTGATGTTCAGAGAATGGCAGGAGGGCACAAGATCAATTCAGCTAAATGTATTTTTGCATAGCCCTAATTCACCACAGCAGTCATGTCGGAGGACTTCACAAAGTTTTCAATTCGCCAACAACATTGGTCTACAGGCAGCAGGATAACCACTGTCCACAAATGTAACCAAAAAAAGTCCAATTAGCTTTTTAAATCAGCCGCAGCTTACAGAAAACCTCAAGGAAAACACAATATAATGCAGAACCTTCTAACATCCATAGCAACACAAGAGTTCCATCTCTAAACCCACGCAGGCTGAGTGTCCACTTACCATAGACTTGGTGAAGGGCCGGGCCAGAGTGAAGAGGAAGGTCATGAGCCACCAGCTGCGGTGGATGGCCGTGTACATCATGTTCCCCGGGTGCACGACGTTACTGGTGACTCCGTGGGGGGACAGGCGGCGGTGGAGCTCGTTGCTGAATAGGATGTTGCACAGTTTGGCTCGGTTGTAGGCCAGCATGGACCAGTAGCTCTTCTGGGGCGGCGAGAGAAGTGCGAGGTCGACTTTACCGCAGGAGTCATTCAGGTCGGTAAACCTGGAGAAGAATAAAATGTTGCGTGATGTACAGTATAGTAGTACATGCATATTATTGAAAAAAATATGTGTAAGAATTCCTTTATTCGTCCCACAGTGGGGAAATTAGAAAAATAGTGGGAAAATTATATTCAGTGGAAAAAAGGCACAGTGGTTAGTTATTAGATTGAGAAATGTGTAGACTAGATTTTCAGGTCACATGAGGGACCAGATCTGACAAAGACTTATTATGCATCATTCGCAATATTTGAATGTTTTCATTGACCTTTCTTGAACCATTTCAAAATCTCTTTTTCAGATGAGTCCTGAACAAGAAAGAGGGGAGCTATTGTACATGTTTTTAGTGGTAGGCCAAACTGGAGCACCCAGAAAAAACCTACGCGGACACAAGGAAAACATGTAAACTCCACTCTGAAAGACCAGGTTAAGCGAGAGTACAAACCTCTCCGATCTTTGAACCTTCGATGTCGACTCTTCCTGACATTGTGAAGCTGAATTCCCCAAAAGTTGGATTGTTCACAAACTAGGGAACGTGTGCTGGGTTTAGACCGTTGTCTACTGATGATGTGTTGTTGCAATAGTAATCCTGCTAGATCTTGTTTTTGTATCTTTAATAAATGTACAAATCTTGCAGTAAAGTAATAAAAACACAATTGGCACATGACCAGGTGCACTCAGGATGATAGATATAGTGATGAAGAATTCAAAAAAACAAAGTGGTTCCTAAACAGAACCCTAAACAGAAAGCTAAAAGACAAGGATATATGTGAGCTGTTTAATGCCGTACTGTAGAACATTCCAGGCAACAAGTTCCACATCAGCTAATGGTTGTGGGTTCGAGCCCACCACGACCCATGTCAACTGCTCCCACTGATGTCTGCTGTCGTTGTGTCCCTGGGCAAAACACTTAACCCCACATTGCCTGAAGCCCCCGCTGAAAGATCAAGGCCATCTCGTTATGACGGAGAAGCCATCATCCTGTGGACCCACCACATGCAGGAGGATCAGCGAGGGACTGGTGCTAAGAGACTTGGGTGGCAGCTCTCATGGCCACCCCCCCGACCCAGAAATGGAATAATAAAGGGGGTAGAAAATGACATGACATAAAAAGTTCCACATCAGAATGGTGTAAAAACCAGCATAATTTTTCTCTAAAAGGAACTTCCAATTCAGTTTTCCTTTCAGGGCACGAGTTAGCAGTAGATACAGTTACAGTGTTCAGTGCGCTGGCCCGGTGCTGGCAGATGTGAGTCGCTCCTAGCATACAAATCAAAGCGATGACATGATGTTCTTTAATTGCTTGCGACAGAGCTGTTAAACTCCAGATGTTTGACAAGGCCCCTAAACATTACACTACTTGTTGTTATTATGCCTCGGCGCTGCAATAGCTCTGTGCACATGCTCGTAGTTCTCCTTCTACCGGCGCGCTGGCTGCATGCGGGACACATTCTACATATTAATCCAGTCATTAGGAAACAACCAATCAAAGTGTCACCTGCGTTCCTTGTTGTGATTTTACAAGCTGGCTGCCTCTTGTTTACTGTCGCCCGCCGCAACATCCGCGCTCGGCTAAATTACAACATCTGCGGGCCTTTCGTTTCATGTGCGCCAACTTCACAACTGCTTCATCAAGTAGAGGTTGATAAATCAGCACGCTCCCAAATCCTGGAGCTTTCGGGGCTGTTGTGGTAAAATGGTTTGTAAACTGTGGCAGGAAAAAAAGGTGTTATGTGGAGTACTGTTATGTCGGATAAAGTGTTTAGTCAGGTGTGTAACTGCCGCAAATTACTTTTTGGGAAATTTGTCTGGCTACATTTGCGCCATGTATAATAGATTTTAAATGAGTTTACATTGTATGCAAACAGGCAGATAGCTATGTCAGCATGTATGAAATGATGAGGATGCCCTGGCAAAACAACTATGCATAAAGATAAGGATTAGGATGTTTAAAAGGCTTACATATGCTATTAATGCATTCAAACATTCTCCTATCTGCGGTCCACATGAATCATCATAAACCTAATAACATAACTGCACTGACAAAGACCACATCGATCCATCAGGGGGCCCAAAAACGAATTTGAATCAGAGGGAATTTTTGTCTGAATTTTTTTAATCTCATCTCTGTTCTCGAAATATTGTACTCAAAAGGTCATTGCAACAACTACATCATGATCAATGGACAATTGGCAAATGGTTGGGTTGGAAATTTTGAAAAGAAGATTCTGTTCAACTTAAAAAGCCAATCAATATAATTGTACCTTTATTTTGCGAATTACATTTGTTGAATACTATTTTGTACAATTTAAAACTGTACTGAGAATGTACTCTAAGTTTATAAATAAGCCAGGTGAAAAATGTATGTTTTGCAGTACAAAATTAATGTTAAGAAGGATATCTGTTGGACTTGTCGGTGTATTAGCCCAATTCTACAGTAAGCTCCGGTGCTGGGAACAACTGATAAAGCGCACAGCCATTAGCCTGTCCCCTATAGGTCAGTCGCCAACAAGGGGCTTAGAAAATACAATATGCTGTGGGGCAGAGGTCGCACACTGGCTTTGGAGGGCAAGCTAAGTGAATCAACCTAACACAAACAAAATGGGAAATCCTTCAATAGATGTAATATAGGTCTGAAATGAGCTGGACAGAACGGAAGATGTCATAGGAGATACGCCACTGGTGTGGGATCCACTGTCCTGCTCCACCTGGCTCTGAACTCACTCAGCTGCTGGAGATGAGAAGTTACCAGGCTGGAGACCCGGGCAGTATGAGATCTTTGAAGAGTGTTATGATGCAAGGATAGTGGCCGTATGTGTTATTGAAAGAGACGTGATATGCTTTGTATGTTTAGTGCACAGGTCTAAAACTGCTTAATATAGGTGAAAGGTGCAGACAGACATACAGTATTTCGAGCACAGCAGTGAGAAAACAACAAAGAAGAAATCATCATCATCATCAAACTTTTATTACAGACTCATGTTCCAGGATAAGACATAAAAACAACAAAACAACACTTCTCAGAGAAAGCCGTACCAGTGTCTCCACTGATCTGACAGGTACAATGTGGCACTGAATTTGACATTTGTCAGGCTTATGATTATAATATTCTGGCTTTCATTGAGCCGACAGATAAAACTATACATCAGACATCAAATGGCTATGTAGGATAATGACGTCTGTTTGATGTCCTATAATGATGATGAGGGAACACTTTTGTAAGATTAAAAATCAAACCCTAACCCTCACCATAAGTAAAAGACCGACACAAGTTTGGATCACCACAGCCCCCTTCGATCGGTTGGGGTAAACTTTGTTACTAATTACTGGTTGTTAGGAAAATCCCGCCTTTCGAAGCACCGCTCTGTAAATAAAGGATTGGTAATGCATGTCTTGGACTTCCTCTTGTCATAAGCAGATGTGGAAGGACTTAACTCAAATAGATGAATAAATAGTATTTGTTTACAATATATATAGTGATACACATATAGGGGTCAGAATAATAGACACAAGATTAACTAAAAAAATCATATGTTTTTATATGTTGATGATTCGGGAGATATTTTGGCTATCCTTTAGAATGTCAAACACTCTACATTAGAAGCAGCTCAGGATGTAGATTACAAAGAGCTACGGGACTTCAGTACAATAATCCTCATTCTACTCATTCGTTGTCTCAATTCTTTTTTTTCCGCATTTTCAAAAAATTCTGCAAAGTCATAATCTTCTGAAGCATTGCATCAATCAAAGCCTGTCGATATTTCTTCTGCACAACGTTCTTTCGCTCACCGACACCGGAGCTGTGGCGTGTAACAGTCCTGTGACCTCCAGAGAATCCGAGTGGCGGGCCGGCCCACTCATGCATGTCTGTGTGGATTACAGCCTTGTGTATGGGGCCTGGGCTGATGTACCAGAATAACTTGTATGTTCTCAGGTCAGATCAATCACAGAGCATGGCCGTCTGACTGGCTCGAGCCTGGATCAATGACTTCACTCTGCTCAGGACATGTTGGCTGAGGAACACTGGTAGATATCAGACACACACTGTACACAATGTAGAATCAGTCTGTGTGGTACAATACTGGGAAATCAAAACTTCAAGTTGGCTGCGCTATTCTGCTATTTAAAACAAAAAATTATTTTCCAACCAGCCGTTATACATTACAAGGCAGAACATTCTTTTACCGGTAGGTCAAATAACCATATCAGGCAAACTAGGGAGCAAGAAAAGTTAATCAGTTTCTTACCTCTAATTTCTATTTTTTTTTTTAAATATCATTTTCCTGGTTGCTTCTTACCCTTTGTAGTTGAATGCCTCTGGGGGTTTTAGAACGCTGTCAGGCAGATGTCAGGTTTTGGGGAACTGGGAGATTTGAATGAATCGATTTATCAATTTAATATTCCCTGGCTAAATGCTCCTACTTTGACTTGAAGACCATTTAGCTTTGTGTGTGTGTATGCGTGTGTGTATCTGTGTGTGAACGTGTGCGTGTGTGTACATACGGCAAAATGATTTGAGAGAGTATTTTGCAGTAGTTTGGGGAAAGGGAAGTGAGAAAGAATAGATGGAGGAGGAGAGGGGCTGAGTCAGGGGGTCAGACAGAAGGAGCAGATACTTGATCAAAGTAAATTTTAGCTGATAAGTCCATCCATCATGTTGATGATACGTTTAATTTATAGTGACAGCGTGTGGAGGGAAATGAGTTTTCAGTGAGTGAGGCTGTCATGTTTGACAATACACATTAAGTCTGATCAATCCGTTTGGAGGCGGAACCAGTGGACGCCGCAGCACGCACTTACTGCATGGATGAACCCCGAGTTATTGCACTCCGCTACTTTGGGATATTATGGATTAGACTCAAGAGTTGTGTTGAAATGTGTGAAGGATACAGTGTGGACTAGTAACTCTGGGGTATAGTTTTACTTTCCTATCAAAACTTTAATTGTTTAGTTTTTTCGTTAGTTTATCTTTCGGGTATTTTGCAATCACAACAGAATACAGTTGTTGTTTTGCATTATCAGCATAATAACAAAAACTTGGGAATTGGCAACAAAACATCTTGGTTTCAATCACCACCACTACTCTCATCTCTTATCCAATATTAGCCTGGCTGTTTATTATTGCATGCTCTTAAAAACTGGCACCAGACAGGCTTTTATCAGACTCAAAATGGCCCAGACACTTTGTTTCATTTTTCATCTACTGTGATGCTAAAAGTTTGAGACAAAACTAACCAAAACATTAATGAATTTGTTAATAATATATATGTATTTTTGTCACTATACATTGGTTATTGGCCATTGTCATTGTTGATGTTCATGTGATTTCCAGCTATGTGGGGGACATTACCTGTGTGACTCCGAGGACACGACCACCACTCGGGCTGGAGCAGAGAGCCGCAGCAGGTCCTCCAAGCACTGCACCAGGAGGAAGTGTCCCAGGTGGCAGATCTGGAAGGTGCTCTCCACACCATCTTCAGTCAGACTCCAGGGCTGGCTGCACACGGCTGCATTACACACCAGGATGTGCAGGGGCCTACGGGAGACATAACCAAAATAAATACGGGCTCTTGAGGTTATCGATTAGAACTCGAGAGGGCTAAGAATGTAGGTTAAAAAAATACCGAGAGGAAATCAAACAAAACAATCGGGCACAAATGTTTGGGGAGCGGAAAGCAGGTGTCTTGTTGCGGTGCTGTGGTGTGGGTCTGTTAATATGAGGTTTAAAGGACTTCTCCTGTGGCCCATATGTGCTGGCACCAATCCAACGGTCACAGATGAAGAAATCCATTTTTTGAAGAATGAAATACGAGTGTTGAATTGAAACACTGTTAGCTGAAGTTTATTATGTGACTGTTAAATTGTTGTCCTTTTCCGTTAGTCTTCTAAGGCTTTAAGGAGGTAAACCTTGTAGATAATACATTTTAATTTTTTGAGAGGCACCAATAGTTTTTGATAATGACTCCAGACAAGAAAATACTGAGCAAGTTTGGCTCCAGATAGGGCTGCAACAAGTAATATAATTGTACATCTTTTGAGCCTTCTGCCTATAAATGTATGTTATTACTTAATTTCTGGTCAATGTATAAACCATAAATTGGAGGGTGAAAGAATAATTTAAGGATAGAAATTCTACTTTCACCCTCCACACCCAAAGAATACCATCAGAACTGAATAATCCAACCAGCTTTTGTCCCAAGCTAAAATCTAGACACAACCTCCACTTCCACTTTCTGAGACCTCTTGTTACAAAACCCAGTGGATGAATGAGGTGCAGACACTGCTCCGCTCACAATGCAGCCTCCAACAAGGGTTTCCTCTCTTTGTTAATGTGGATATGATAGAGGTTTTGAGTGCATCTCCCCACGGCGCTGCAGCTCCTGTAGCTACAGAACGCAGCTGGCAGCCTTCCAACGCCAACAACACACTGGAAAGCAATCTCCCACCATTTCTGCACCCGAGAGTGGAGGGCTAATGGTGCTGCTGATACACTCTGCCGAGGCTGTAACCCAAACCATTGACACGTCTGTGAGCGGAAAAGACTTGTCATGGTACAAAAAAAATGTCATTGAGCGCTGCAGAAAAGGATGTGTTTGTCTTCTTCAATGAAATGCTGTGAAATCCGGATGAAGGACAAGTTGATATATTTCTCTATGGAATACTAGGCCTTTTTTTTTTAAAGATCAATATTGGAATTCAAAATGTCAAAAAATGAACAATGTGTCAAATAATGCTGCCATCAAAAAAGCAGACATATGAAAGAATAGAATTACTTATTTTTCGGAATTACTGCTTTTTCTGCTAAGTATGGATATGACCAATATAGATAGATACTTTACTGATCCCCTGCAGGAGAAATTCAGGTGTCCAGTAGCAGAGGTCCAAGTTTAACCCAATGGGAAGTTATAAAAGATTCTCAATAGACTAGTTATGAATAGACTAGTGCTCTTTTTTTTTTGATTAATCGAAAGACCAAGTATTCTAAAACATGTGCAATTTAAATTACTGTTTGCATCAATAGTATGCTGATCTGCCATCTCAATTTTCGACTGTAGTCTGTGAAGTAAATGAAGACATCAAACTGCGCAGTCTTACATTATATTGGCTTCCTCAGACACAGAGCAGGAGAGGCAGTAGATTGTGTGCTAGTCGAAAGGAGCTTGCCGGATTGGTCAAGGCGTACAGATCCTTGTATAGGTGACAGCGTCGCTCCAGCGAACTCGAAAGTGCAGTAACACAGCCGAACAATCCAAACACACCCCACCAATTTTTAATTTCTTCCATTAGAATTAATTATGAGGCCGAAGGCAATTTGTGTACCCTGTGTTTAAGGCTGCCTACTGGATTAATTAAAAACTGGATGCTGGAAAATTAATGTGTGAATTGTTATGCCTTGCTATAATGAGCCATCCCATGCTATTACATAGGAGTGTAGTGTACGATCACCTTCAGGCCTGCGAACACACAAGGTTCATTAAAGAGCACAAACCAAGTCACAAGTCAACTTAAAGAACACCCAGCTCAGCACATTTTTAAAGAGGCGCAGTAACAACGAGCTGCTCCCGACTGCACCCAAACAAGGTGGGGCAACGCTGCATCGCATTTGAATAATATAAGAATAATATTATCCCCGATATCTAAATAAATTAGTTTTGCCCTGAAAGTGTTATTCTAAGGTTAGCTTTAAAAGTTATGGGTCTGCTGACAAATATCAGCTCTAAAAATACACAAAATTTTTCTAACTTGAAGTTAACTTTTTGTATTGGGTTTGTGTGACCCCTGTCTGTACTTGCTTGTCATTTTCAATCAAATCACTAGAGGAGTTGTGGCAACAAAGATAGTTTCATCAATGTTTTGGAGCTGATTGAGTACACAAAAGCGTCTGGCAGGGACACTACCAGCCAAGAAACAAACTGCAGGACCCCGTTGCAGTGAGGTGATCCTCAAAACCACAATGGTGAACTTTCCCTTTCATTAAGATTAATAGTCTTTCAGTACTACTCACTAGTATTAATATTTTGATAAATTAAAAAATGCATTCTTTTTTAAAGAATATTTTCATACCCTGTCATTGAGGATAAAGAATGATAAAGTTAAAATAAATACAAAAATCAGAGGCAATAATAATAAACAATTCTTTGCAAAATTACTACTTACTCAAAAAAATGAAAACTGAAAAGTAGGGCCTGTCAGTATTCATACATTTGCATACAATGCATTATATTGCCTTTGAAATGTAGCAGGATGGTGACTCGGAGAAGCAAGGTAATCGACACAGAAGGGATCTCACTCTCAGTAGGACCAATAGCAGAAATTGAGTACAGTTACAAGTATCTCGGCATAACGCAGGCAACAAGGAAACTGCAAAATACCTCAAGAGAGTAAGGCAAGTCCTAAGAAGCTGACTCAAGGGTAGGAATAAGGCCCATGCTAGATATTCTATTGCGCAGTGCAATAAACAGCTACACTCTGCCAGTGAAAGCAACTGTCCAGGACGAAACATCCAAACTCCAGATCTACATCATGGAGAAGGCCCCAACAGATGACACACTCAGCAAAAGTCTCTGTCTCTGGTGCATATACCACCGGAATATAGGCAAGGTGGTTGATTTTAAGAAGTCCTGCCAATGACGAGAAAGGGCTGTTCTACAGGACATGGCTGCACAGGAGCAGGCCAAGAGCACCAGAACGATAGAGGCCCAGATATATCACACCAGACAAGACACAAGTGGTTGTGCAAAGGAGGACATGAGACGATCCAACACATAACTGCAGGGTGCAAGATACTGGCAGGGGAAGCCTACATGGAACGCCATAACCAAGTGGCTGGCATAGTGTACAGAAACAGAGTATGGGCTGGAAATCCCAAGGTCACGATGGGAAACTTCTCCAAAGGTGGTTGAGAATGAGAGTGCAAAGATCCTGCGGGACTTCCAGATACAGACGAATTGAATGGTAATGGCGAACCAACCTGACCTTGTGGTGGTAGACAAAGTAGTGATGTATGTGGAAATGTGCGGACCCAACCAGAGGGTAGCAAAATTATATATCATATAATGATTATGTACTTTGCTGTGGTCTTTGAACACGACATAATATAATTCTAATTTCCAAGTCATACGAAGAATAATATGAGACCAGACTACTTTCAACTTAATACTGAATTCTGTTCAGATCTAGGTGATATTACTTTTTATGTACACTGATTTATGGCTGCCGTACTTCTAAATACAAATGCCACAGTATATTACACAGGAGGTCAGGTCAGAGTACAACAATGAATCACTAATCTTTAGGCATCAAGTCACAAAGAATTACTGGTACGTCTTAAAGCAAATGTAAGTCCAAATGTTTGCAAAGTAAATACTACTTTGAAGACTATTCCATTCAGCTCTATATCACCAATTTGTGATGCACAATCCAATAAGCAACTTCTTTGTGGCCATTGCAGCGCTTCCCCCAACAATACAGCTACGATAGGCCTCGGGTGAGTCTACTTCTGATGTAAAAGGCCTGTTAATTCTACTGCCCACCAGTTAGTCCCTCTCTCATAAGCGCTGCACTAATGAATGTCTTTAATAGGCCTATAGCCGCGCCGCTCGCTCCCTCCGTCCGCATTAAAACCTGCGCGGCACACCGACAGCACCGCGCAATCTCAACCAGCCCGTTAACTACCAAACAGGGAGGCATCACTTTATATATTTACTCTAGATAACCCCCCTGGGCCAGACCTCTTGACCCGGGTGATAATATGGGCCGGCAGGAGAAGATTGCCTAAGAGAGCCAGGCGGACACGATTGGTCATTATTGGTGGACTTTATTGGCCAGAGGAAAAGTGATAGTGGAAAGATGCACTGGACAAAGAACCAGCAGGGTGCTGTACTGTACTGTGGGCGGGTTATGTCATAATGGGTACTGGATCAAAATATGTGTCTACAATCATAATGTCAGATCGAAAGAAATATACAGGCAAGTCCAAGCCAGGTCCAAGATAAGTCTTAGTAGAGGAAAAACGAGCTAAACCCAAGTAGAGTCCAATATTAGGAATTACCCGAACTCATCCTCCATGCAAAGTTTGTCTACCAAGTTTCCAGTTTCAACATCTGGAGCAGTGTCCTCTAAATATACAGGGACATTAAAGGGACCATATGTAACATACACTTTGTGGTCTAAACTCATTACAATCAAAATCCACCTTTGTTTGCCAGAATCATGTGGCCTGTGATTCAGTATTATCTATGACTTCTTTTATTTGTTATAAAGAGGATGCACTTTGATTGAAAAATCTGCTGGAAAACCATAAACATAAATATCACGGTCATCATCTCTAGTTAGAATAACTCAATTTCAAACTTTTGTTCAGATCAATGGTCACATATGATATGTCTACCTATTGCCTGGGGACACACATAAAAGATGTAGATGTAAGATAATACAACCAGTCCCTTTAACTAACCGTTACTTTGTTTAAAGAATCATTACTGATGAGGACTTATTTCAATGCTAGTGAGATAACTGAGGATGGAATTGTTTGGGGTGTTTTTTACTCAAAAATGTAATTGGCCTGAAGTGCACCATGGTCCACTGCAAGGACCAAGGTGCACTACAGATGGGACCTCTGAACCTGGCCCCCTGCATCTACACCTGCAGACAGCCCTGCCCGATCCGCCTGGGAGTGCTTCAGTCCCGCACCGGACCTCTCCACGTTCTAAGGCCGCTGCGTGGCCTTGGTCCTCGTTCTGTAGCTTATGTCCTAGCCCGTCCGTCCATGTGGAGCGGATCCCTCTCTTAATGTGGATCTCCTTGAGGTTTCTCACTTTTCTTTCACTGGGTTTTAGAGTTTTTCCTTGCCGATGCAGGAGGGTCTGTTGGACAGTCAGTATCTAACAAAAAGGACTGTGGTGATGATCCAGGACACTTTAACATTCTACAACATGTATGGACATTTATCAACATTCATGGACAGCCAAAATGAGTTTCATAGTCCAAGTCAAGTTAAAGTTCATCAAGTTTGAGTTCAATCCAATTTATGCCTAAATGCTGTTCAAGGTCCAGGGTTTAGTTTTTTCTTACTGATCTCGACTTGCTTCTGACTTCTGGTTTCATTTCAGAAGAATATGCACATCCCAATCACAATTCTGTTTCAAAGTAAGTTCATTGAGGTGATTATAGACCAGTCACAAGGGTTCACTTATTTTCACATCTACACAAAGGTCCATTGAAGTGTTCACTCCAGTGCATGTGTGGCTATACGTAGAGTATGTACTTGTTAAGTCCAATTAATACAACAGTGCACGCCTCTGTCAAATCATTGGTCAATGGTTTAGCCCTGCATGTAAGGTGACAGGACATTTGGTTGCGGTGCCAATTTGATGTCAAAGATAAGTGTGAAAAGGTTAAGCTACAATGGAAAAGAACAGTCTACATTTAGTAGTCCCATCCCTTGCGATAATTTAGAACCATAACGCAATATTAGCACTAAAATCAAAGTGGAAACAAATTGCATGTGTTAATTACAGCACATCCTTTCTAAATTATATTAGGGGCATTCTGTTCGCCGTGCCCCTTACGCCATCAGTTACATCCCAATGGAAACCAGCAGCCATCCCACAATATCAATATAAAGGTAATTTCATTTCAAGGGACAGGCAATTAATACGGCAATCGGGGTCAATGGAACAAAAAGCGGCACAGACTAAGGCACTTAAAAGCAAGGGAGTGAAAAACGACAGCCAGAAACAGTAAAAAAGCAGCCTTGATTGCATTCCCCCTGTCAACGCCACAGCAGTATTACATTGGCGTGTTTACAAACTGTGAATTGTCCGTACGTGCCGACGTGAACCTATATATGCATGGCGCGGGTTGTTATGCCCGGAGACATGCGTGCCGTAATGGAGTGGCGGAGGTGGACTTAGACAAGCTAGCAAGTGCCATTCACAGCTCACAGCTCCCAGCCCGCACTCGCCTCTGATGAGAATTAATGTACTCTGACGTCCCCTGAGAACCCCCTCCCCCCCGCTCCGACCAAAACAGCGGGCCTAATGAAGAAATACAGCCGTGCCAAAATAGTGAGGTGAAAAAGAGGGAGGGACGCGGACGAGTGAGGAGATAGGGAAATAACGGAGGATGAACATAAACAAATGCCGTGAGGGGCAGACCTGTGGGAGAAGGTTGGGCCGGATTGGGTCAAGACAAGGTCAACGCAAACCGCTTTTCAACAGAATTGGTGTCATTTGGAAATTGTATTTCGCTAGAGGTCTTAAAAACATGTTCAGAAATGTTCTTGGGTGTGGTATGTCATGTTTGTTTGTACGTTTTTTGTGTAAGTAAAGCTAACAATGTCTTACTAAAGGGGTTATCCTTCTGGGCATCAGGGTTTATGAAATGTGCTTCTATACCTGTAACTTGGAATACTTATTTCTTTGCTTGAAAAGTTGCTCAGTTTAGTGTAAAACATGTATATTCCACAATTTTGGACGATTTTTTTTTTTTACAGTGAGAAGACTCGCCTCATTACTGTGAGGAGCTTTGTGTTACCCTGTGTAGGAAAAGCCCTCTATAAATAAAGATTGATTGATTGATTGATCACAGAACTATACTATATCTGTAACTTAAGTGAAAACACATGCTTGTTTCCAATGTAAAGGTTTGTTTAATGACAAACTGAATATTGAGGAACAACAATATTTAGACAAAAGAAAAAGAGGTGGACTCGCAGCCAGGACAGTCATTATTTTGTCTTAAGATCCAAACTTTTATTTTTTTCCCGGCAAATAACATAACAGTTTGAATGATTTTGATTGTAACTTTCCCATGAATTGAGAAGAGACATTATATTTTAGTTTAGTTTAAGTTTAGTTTAACTATAAAGACAGAATTAACGAGTATTTTTATACAAATATAAAATTAAATCAGTACTTTCAGTCCGACACGTGCCCTCTGCGGTGCTTCTGTCCATGGGAGGAGACGGGGGAGATACCACTGATTATAGGACACTTTGTGAGGGAAGCCACCGTGAGCTTTGGCTGTGACCCAAGACACGTGTCCTGGATGTCCATACTCCGCCCCAGGGCAGCTGTGGGCGACGACTGCCTTAGCTCTCCCCTCGGGACAGCCCTACCTCCTCTACCCACCACAGCAGGACCATCCAGCACAATGACACAACACATGACCCCCAAAGAGCAGCAGCGTGACCGGTCAGGAGACATGCTGACCGCCACAAAAGCAGTGTAAAGTGAGCGGCTCCATTCAGCGTGGGACAGACTGATGCAGATCCACGCTGCTCTCCTGGGCCTCCTCCATATGCTGTCCACTGCGCACTGCTGGGACGTCAGCTCACTTTCGGTAAATATGATGAATAAGGGAGATGGCCACAGTAAAAACCCCACTGGAGACACATTTGTTGTGAATGCAAAGTTATTTCTGTATATTGGTACCCTACATAGAAACAGAATGGGCAGTTTGACTCCAACTGTCAGCGGGGTCAAAACAATTTCAAGTGTATAGAGACAATTCTAAATGAATAAATAAATGGGGACTTTATGAGCAATTCACACAAGTGATGAGGATTGGGACCACAATAGGATGCCGTGTTTTTCATGAAACTTGCGCTAAGATGGAGAATCTTTGGACGATTCCGGTTCATTATTCTACGGGTCTGCACAGCAGCAGTAGAATGCTCCATTGATTTGAATGTAAATACAAAACGTTCTATTGGTCATTTTTTCTTGATAACCGACCTCTCAAAACATTAATGGCCGCTGACCATGGAAACGCACCCTCTGCTTGTAATTCAGATGTGTAGATTACTCTGCAAGTTGTCTGGCCACTTCGTCGCTACTACTGTCTCTGCGAGAGAAGCTATTGGAGCTAGCCACGCTCAATAGACACGAATATCAATCAATCAACACATTTAAATGTTAATCGGAGAATACATTATACATATTCATTCGTAACACACATGCACAGGGATTTTCATAATTATTGTAATTAATGTTTTCATGACAAAAATACTGTTTTAATGTGACAAAAAGCCATAGTGGTAAACCTGGAAGTAACTATTAACATGAATTAAACATTTTAGGACGCATTTGCAGAAGATCGAATTATATAGGTTGATATATGGGTCCCGATAATGACCTGCATACTATACATTATCCCTTTCATAACATTTACTTTTTTCCAGGTAGAAAGATCAGCGTTGAACCTTTCGAGAGGTTTAAAATATTGCTACAATTTTTTGTTGCATCACTGGAGCAAACACAAGGAAACTTGTGTTTGGTTACTTATCCAGAGGTGTAACCATTAGTGACAACAAATACTCACAGTTTCTTGGCCTTGAACGCCTCTGCAAACTCCCGGACACTGCGCAGCGAAGCCAGGTCACACATCATGGCCTCCACTCGGGCTTTGTGCTGTGGAGACAGAGGAGCAGCTGTTTAATGGAACTCACCATACTGGATACTGTTATTGCGAGTTTCAACTAAATCAGCGGTAGAACTACAAAAACAAAACACAAGATCAAACCGCAGCCCTTGTTTGAACGCAGATATTGAAAAGCATTTCTAGAACCTAGAACTGTAGAATTACATAGACATTTTCTTTCACAACACAAAGAGATGTGTCTGAAGACTGTGGTGCCTGTAACTTTGCTCCATGTTTGCATGCCTCCTCTTAGCAGATGTTAGCAGACAGGGTGAGGACGGCACAGGAGCAGGGAAAGATAAATGACTGAAGAAGTGAATGCATAAGTGCATTTACACAGAGAGGAAGACAGGCGCAATATTCATCATAGTCTGTTACACTGTGGTACACTGCATTGTGCTGCAGGGCAGAGGCCTCGGATCCACTTACACAGAGGAACACTTTTCATTATCAAACGGTTCAAAAGTGAGCAAAGCCACACCAGCAGGCACATCTTTTTAACTATTTAGTCCTCATTTTTGGTCATAGAGAAAGAACCTTTTTAGAGATTTTTAGAAAGAACCTTTTAGAGACTTCAAAATCCATAATGTCCAAAATCTCCACAGAGAAAGTTTTATGCACAACAACTTTCTGAAGACATACTAATAGCAATTAGTATGGAAGGAATTAAGGAATAATCAAAATGCATTCCCAATTTTTCTTCCTCCCACTCCTTTTTGAGTTTGAATGATGTGCAATGATGGAATAAGTAAATGTGAATAGATGATTTGCTGGAAAGTTCTATGTAGTGAGGTCTGATAATTAATGCTTGATCACTCAAATCAACTTATTTCATCAAAAAATTCTTAATTCTGTCTTAATTGTCCTCTTTATTCTCAGCGGTACACCTCTCTCACGTGCATGACAATAAAAAAAAAAAAAAGACAATTGTTCTATGCATCAAACAATTAATCATAATTTGTCCCCACCTAAAGCCCTCCAGCAATAGGCGCTCCTGAGCATGACCACACCTTCATTCTAACTCATATTTACCACAGAGGACACAGATAGACCCATAGGTGACCGCTCAGTGTCCCCCACTACCTGCAGGTTCCCCCCAGTGTTCCCGGTGTGTCCTCCTCCTCCTCGCGCTCCCCAAGGAACCCTGTCGACTCACATTACCGCTGCGGAACCACAATCAGCATTTTATTATCTGCTCTCCCCACAGATTCTGCTCCCCGATCACACCGGCTCACATGTACACAAGCCCCTCTACGGGACACTGGAGACGCACAACGGGTTAAGAGCGAGTCGTTCTTCAAGCGTTTTACCGACTTTGCTCAGGGCGAGTTTGAACACACGTACACAGGCACGCCACAAACTCGAGGGCTCAAGGGTAAAGACGTCGCACCATTATCTATGCCTGGATTATTCTCTTGATGCTACTCCATACCATTATATAGATGCCATTACTAAACATTAAAGGGCGGTTATGGTGGTTATAGATATGATTATAGGGGATGAGTGGATATGATGTGCACACAGCAGTAATCACAGGTGATAGTCGACAACTGCCCCGTTTTACCACAGGGACGTGCACCAAGGGCTCGCACTATGAAGTGGTGACACCGAGCATTATTTTGTCTGTTCACCGTCATGTTCACGTTATTATTTAATGATGTAGTATTTCATAAAAGAAGCCACTTGTTTTTTTCTTATACACGACAAGAGGACGGAAGTGATATACAGAATATTTGATATATCTGTGGGGAAGTGTCTTGAGCTATTTGTTTCAGGCCTACGTCTTTCATTTTGTCTTTTTTATAGTTGTGAGAAATAAATGAAACCAAAAGATTGATTAAAAAACATCAATTAAAAAAAAATATTTGTCTGTGATTTTGTTATTAAAGTTTATTGCAATGTTTTCTCCAAAAACATGGTGATGGTCATATTTTGAATAGAAATATTATAGTTAAGATATTTCATGCATACTGACAGAATGGTTGTAAGGGTGATGTAAAAGTATAGAATAAGTGTCAATTATTGTATATGAAACTCCTTACAAAATAAATACATTGATGCCGTTCTTGTTTTATTGTGATAACCCATCCCTTTCTAACGCTCAGTGAAACACCCATGTGAAGTGACTGCCCCCTGGTCCAGTCTCTGTTAAACCGTGGGGGCGCACCAACGACGCCAAGGTCAGAGCGGCGAGAGTTTGATCATTAGTGGGCCGACGGAGGGGCCAGCTCCACGGGGCCCTCTGCACTGCCCAATGACCAGCAGAGAAGACGAGCGCACGTGTCAGCTTGAGGAACGCCACTACTCCTCTCCAGAGGCCGGCTGGAGAAGGGGAAACCATGGGGAACAAGAGAGCATGGAGGTAATCCAACAGCCTGGCCGCTCGCCCTCCCCCGCAGACTCAAGTCTAGCGAAGAAAATAAAGTTTATTGCCTGGAAAGTTGGGGGGGTCGAGAGCATGTAAAAAGCATTAAAGCGATGGAGGTGAACAATTAGACAGATGGCAAGGTTTGAAGGAAAGGCTCGGAAACGCAGAGAGGGGAGAAGGCTCATCCGCGATCGCTCAGGGTTTTTATGAGGAGCTGACAACTCCTGGTACGTTCTCTCTTCAAGGGCGAAGGGGAAACGAGAGGCGCTCAAGCTTCTCTGGTTAACTCTGCAGTAAGCGCTGAGTGTGCAACAACCACGGGCCGCGCAGGGCTGAGGAGGGCTGAGGCGCCGGAACTTTGTCACACTGGAAATGGAGAGTTATGAAGTGAAAGAAAAATGTCTGTAAGTGTCATCTATTGTTTTTAAGAGTCAATTTCTCAGTACGCAGGTTTCTTCATCAATTTGTCTGAGTTTTAGAACGGCACATAACTAAGGGGTTGCTTTGTACGTGATGGGGAAGCAGTAAGGTGACAGAGAGTAATAATTCTGTGATTGGGTCTTTGAGACGACCCAATCACAGTATATACTGTGGCTGAAGTACACTGGTCTAGAGGAGACAGCAATTATGAAATAAGATTAGAATGTATCGGAAAAATCTTGTTCTCCTCGAGTGCCATGTACATACAGTATACTTTGGTTTTTAACTGTTACATCACTTTTTTGCTGCACACTTTTAGTGTGTTTAGATAGTATAGTACATATTGAAGTAAGCTTTTCACCCACTGAACACAAGTGGGTTTTTCAATTGCTAACATGTTCTAGAGCATCTCTTTGCTGTTCCAAATATTTGTTAGGACATTAATTTAAAGGTGCTGTACAAGTTTGAGGCATGAGGATAAATATAAAGCCCCTGAGCACATAAGAAGTGAGTTGAAAGAGCAAACACATTTAGCCCCTGCTGTCTTTGCTCAGTACTTACTTACATGCAAAGGAGTTGCATGCGTTTCACAACAAGGTCACAACTGGACATTGACTCCCTCGACACTCTTCTCCAGACTCCATCTTGCCTTCCACCTTCACCTCGAGTCAACAGCTGTCTGCAACACGGCCTTGACCTCCTCGACTTTGAAGCAAAGCAACAGAGGAGGGATGGAGCATTGTGGATGTTTGAGATGTTTTGGTGGAGCAGAGATGGAGTGACGTGGCCGGAGCATGAGAGAGATGAAGACAGTGTTTGGAAGGGGGAGCAGGGGAAGGACTCTAATACAATTATAACTGGGGCAATCCAATCCAATAAAATGAAGAGGTATTAGAGGCAGGGAGCCCGTCCTGTTCAATAAGACGCAGGAGCACTCGGCTAAGTCTCCAAACGCACGCGTGTAACCACCGAGATGCACACACGTGCTCCCACATGTACCGTGCACGCGCCCAGGTAAAACGCACACTCGGCTGACCCCTTTAATAGCGCGCTGGCCACCCCTAATGGACGCAAGCAAGTGGAACGGCCAAATAATACAGCGTCTTAATGCACTCGGCTCAATCTCATCCAGCCCATGCCGTTATCCTGTGCACACTTTAACCTCCGCTGGCCTGCGCCTCTTCACTCACACAGCTCCAGAGCACGGCCAACACTTAAGAAATCAAAACGGCAGTAGCTATTTACAGGTAGTCACGCCCCCCCACGTGTGTGCGTTATGAGAAATATGGAAGGGCAGAGGCAGGTTACTGGTTATGTAATACATGGAACTTTGGACAACTTTCTCATCTCAAAATGATTTCTTATTGTTGCAGTTTACCGTCAAAAAATGATTCATGATTGTTACTTTTTTTTTTAATAATAGACACTGATGGTTTATATACATTTAGCCAAGAACCAAAAAATGAGTGATATGATTCTTTAAATCCATAGAGAGAACCACATTTACAGTAGGGCGATAACTTTTATTGACATTTCATATCTGGAAGTAGTCTGACGAGCCAGAATGTCCTTAATGTCATCACATTCTTGTGAGAATTAATCTTGCAGCGCATTGTTTCACTGGAACGGTCCGTGGCAAGAGTGGATTTTGGACACATCCTTTGTTCATCCCACAGTGGGGAAATTTTAGTGTTGCATCACAAGTAATAGAACAGTAGGAATTAGGAGCGCACAGCACAAGATAAGTGAACAATAGCTATATTAATTAAAATAAAACAAATCAAAGGGCAGGTACAAAATCTCTATTTTGAACATAATAATAATAAAGTTATACATTTATATATAATGTATAGTTTTACATTTGGCAAAATAAGAGGCAAGTATAAAGTACTGTGTATTCTATGCTTTATATAACCAAGTAGAACACTATTTCTTGGAGATTTGTTCATTTTGTTCTGATTTAATTGTAGTTATTCCGTCCTAGACCTGGTGTTTTCATATTTTTGTTCTTGTTTTGAAAAATAAAATTTTAAAAGGAATTTGAAAGAAAATGTAATGTGTCCTTGTTAAAGATTAATAAATAAAAATAATTAAATTACACAATAGGTCCTTTACAGAGTGGTTCACAGTTATGGGTTGGTTCACAAATAAACAAATAAAGAGTCAAATTGTTTTTACTTTTATTATATATGCAAAGTTTGT